CACCAAATTATTAAATCTGGCGCGGCAGATACGTATTAACGAAATTTAATTATCATTTCCTAATAATAGGAAATAGTACGCCGTACGTGGATCAATTCGAGAAATAATATCTGTTTCTTGAAGAATCTTCAATTAAGTAAAAGTAAGCCGTCGTAATTGACATTTGACTAACCGCGCGAATTCTAAGTCGGTCAATTCTCCAAAAGCTATCTCGAACCGGTGGCGGAATAGTCGAGGAGCGACGGAAGTAGATCCGGTGGCACGCGACACGCGCAAACTCTGCGGCGAATTAACCATTCCCACTTCCATTTAACTTAAACAACACGTTCCTTTGACAATTGAGACGGCTCGATTGCGTCTGCACGAGACTTCAGGAACCGAGAGCAATCACCTCGATGCGACTTATCAAACACGCGAAGTCGGCCATCACTTTAATTGGCCATTATATTCTAAAACGGAGTTTTAATCGCGGTTGCTACAGAATTTAAAATCGAGATTTGAACCAGCTTCGATCTATTTAACTTTCTCTTCACCCTTCATCGCCGAGGTATCTTGCTACTTCGAACGTTGGAATTTACGAAACTCTTGAACTTGTATTGTTGTAATTTGTAAACGATATAGCGAATTTCTAACCATTTTTTTTTCTTTTTCAGTGATTTACTTCTACGACTAGATTGTATATCTGTATGTGTTCATGGTATATTTTTAAAAAGTGAAATTGCACGTGATACGAAACAAACAATTTTTTTTAATTATATTTTCAAAAATATGGATTTGCATAAAATACATACACGTATTCTTGAGAAATATAATTTAGATAGTAATTATCTAAATCCTATTACGAATAAACGTAATAAATCAATTTCATGATTAGATGGAGTCGGATTTCTGATACGGACTTACTCAAAAGCAAGAGAAACTAAATTTTTAACGTATCTTTAACGAATTAATGAAACTCGTAGCCTTATGATTAAAAGGAATATTTAGGGAACCAACAGAATTTCAAAGATACCAGGCAGTAGGAAGATCAACGTTTAGTACTATAATCTTTTCATTTTACTCAGAATAATTCTACCAATGCATTTTTATCCGTATTTCGTCTTATTGAAGTAAAGAGAAAGTTTCTAATAAAAAAATCTTTTTGTAAAGAGATTCTCGAATCATCCGAAATCATCCAATCATTTATATAAAATGAGTAGTTAGTAAATTATTGTCAAGTTACAGTCAATCGCAAAGTGTTTTAGAAAATACAAGAATTTGAAAATCGATCGAACGAACGAATGCTCGTTCGCCATCCCAATTCGATTAAATTCGTGAATTGGTATCGTATCGTTTATTCCATTAAACCAGTGTTAGTGTAATAAATGAGCATGAATTTGGTCGAAGCATTCGTTTGTTTGTTCTGGACGCATCGTTACATTCGTTTACTGGAAGAGATAAATAAATCGAAACGAAAGCTCGGGTTTAGTTTACTATACCGTGAGTATTTTTTTTACATTAAAAGATTAAATTTTCGTACATTACAAAATACTCGTACATTCTTCTTTTTCTTGTTCTCGTTGTTATTATTGTTATTATATCAAGTAGACTTTAGTCAAACATTATAAATTTGAGGCTTCTAAGTAACTATATATCGAAGACATTTTACGTCAATATGCGACATATGGTAGATTTGACAAAGTTAAAATTTAGAATGGAATTTATTCCAAGTATAATTTATTCTTTTGCATAGAATACCGAGCTACATCGATTAAAGGATCAAATGACATACGATTCCATTTGAAACAATGGAGGGAAAACCTTGAAATCTCCGAAACCCTGCTAGCTACAAAAAAAAAAAAAAATCATACAATCACATTACACCCCATAACTGAACAACTAACTTTAGTTAACAGAGTCTTTTTACACCTGCAACAACGTCAGAGATATTTGAGACACGACAATAATTACTGACGACTCCATATAATATTTTATTAAAAAAAAAAAAAAAGTCAAATTGACACAAGGAACGGATAAGGGTTAATACCTTACTACATCATAGTTCCTCCTTGCATCGAACCCCTCAATTCGTACCTCTCGTTGACACACAACCGACGTGGATTCCGAACAACTCGTTCCTCGGTCACGAAAACCCGTAAACCTGCGTTCTTCGACACGTTTTACGCAGAAAATTCTATTTTCTTTCCCTGCCTTCCCCATCCTCCACCGGTGGCGAATTCCTTCCTTGAATTCCGGCTGCGAACCGGTAATGCATATCGCGGACAGAACTATTACATTATTCGATCGCAATTTGACTTCAAAGAGCTCGGGGTAATACTCGTTGACAAAAGCCTTTGCCCGGGAGCATCAGGCTACAAATGGAATTAAAGGACGCCTAAAAGGATAATCCTCGGCGCGCATCCGCCGAGAGACCAGCGGCAAAAACATCTCCCCTTCTTTTCAACCCCGGCAGATCTCCCCCCTCGCCCTTCTACCCGGTCTCTAGCCCTGAATCGCAATTCGACGCTTCTTTACGGCGCCGCTAAATTAATTAGTCTCGCTTTAACTAAAGGGATAATTCCTTGGTTTTCGTCTCTTGAAGAGGTGTGTGCATGTGTATGTGCACTGCACGTGGCTCGGTTTTCTTACGGGCGACCGTGCAACA